AAAAAGAACCCAAGGTGACTTACAACATTCTCCTCTTGATTTCCATCTTATCTCCACAACAACAACCCTGTGAGGTAGGCTGAGCTGAGTCTGTGACTGGACCAAACATGCCCAGTTGGTCCTGTCACTGAGTGGGGACTAGAACCCAGATCGCCTGAGTCCCAGATCCACATGCTTAACCACCCTGGCTAGTAGGTTCTTTTATTGGAAACCTGATAGACTCTCCCCAGCCAGCCTTCTCTGCATGTGATATCATTGCTGGGAGTTCCAGCCTCTTAGCACCTTTCCCCAGGTTGAAAAAATGGCTACCTGTGCTGTAGTGCACAACCACAGGCACAACCAGTGGCTTTCCCTTCTTTCCAACTAGGTCCTATTGGGCTGGCCACCAGAAATCGACCTGCACAGGTTGTGCCCATCCCATTTGATCTGTGGATGAGCATGAGATGGGCGTAAGATAAGGAAAGCTATGCTGGATCAGACCAATGGTCCCTCTAGTCCAGCACTCTCTCCACACAGTGGCAAGCCAGCTGCCCACAGGATCCCTCAAGCAGGACGTGTACATGAGTTCCACCCGCCCAGGCTCCTCCGCAACTGGTGTAAGCAGGCACGCTGTCCCTGCAGACTGAGGTGCGCATAGCCAGCAAGGTTCTTGGTGACTGCAAAGATTTGATGTGCCTCATGGGCAAGGGAATCCCAGGATGCACAGAACAACAGAAGAGATGCAGCAGAACACTGGCTTCTGGAACGGCAGAATACCTCCAGGGAGATCCAGCACTGCTGATGGGCTGTGTGTACCATCATTCATGTAGATCATAGCCCTGTTTATGTGCTACACTCAGTGGATGAAAATCAATGACTAATTTTAAATTAAAAAATCAGATTTTTTGATTTAAACTGGATTTTTTAAAAAATAAAATGCCTTTTGAGGAAAAATCTATCTACAGATCATTTTCTATTTAAGATACATTATAGCAAAGGTTATTTGTCATGAAGTAAGGATTAGTTTTTAATTAGGTAGCATGAGGCTGTATATTCATGCAGTGTTTAATTTTTTTGGGAAATGAATCCCATTAATCCATCCACAATATCATGCTCATCCAGGGGTTTCTGTAAGATTATTGGGCAATTTTCTGTCTAGAAGATATTATCACAGATGCTTGGTTTTACAGTACTCAAAGTTGTGAATTTGTGCCTGCAGAGAGCACATGCCTCTTCTGCACTGCAAAAATGTTATAAAATAAACATGCAGAGTTGAGAAAAAGACCTTAATCCCATTGTTGCTTTGCAAATTTATGTAGACGGAATCAACCCTTTACCTCTTAAGTGCTACATTTCAAAAAAATCAATGAATAGAAGACTGTTGGGGGTGGAATAGATCTGCACAAGAAGCTAAGTGTGAGGAGGGTGGGGCAAGCACTAAAAATGAAAGTGACTCCTTTTGAGCAGAACACTCCACAAGTCTTTGCATCTTTTTTGTGTGCAGTCTGAAGTTCATCATATTATTCTTTCCCTTTATTGAAGCAGGCCATAAATGAGATCCAGTTTGGGAATATTTTAATAATATTCCTCTACTTACGGGTAAGGCATGCATGGAGAGCCAGTGTGGTGTAGTGGTTAAGAGCACAGGACTGGGACTCAGGCGATCTGGGTTCTAGTCCCCACTCGGCCATGGAGCCAACTGGGTGACTTTGGGCCAGTCACAGACTCTCAGCCCAACCTACCTCACAGGGTTGTTGTTGTGGGGATAAGATGGAGGAGGAGAGATGATGTAAGTTGCCTTGAGCCCTTTGTAGGAAAAAGGCAGGATATAAATCAGAAAAAAAATATGTAGGAAATCATTATTTAAATCTAGTTTTATTGGCTAGTGATTTAAATCATGATGATGTAAATCACGATGATTTAAATTGTGATTTAAATCAAATTCAGCCGGGCTACACTGCCACTGAAAATAGGCCGTGGGCCTCTCAGCATTTCTACAGCTGAGCCCAAATTCCAGGGATGGTACTTCTTAGCCATTAAAAAATGTTGCTCAAGACTGACATTTGGCATGCAACTCCTCATACGTGAACTTAGAAGGGTATAGCTTTGTTGGCATTGCTGTGATCATGTTGTGTTTGCCTTAATAGCAAAAGGTCTTGCCTTGCCAAATTACTGTAATATTATAGGTTCCCATCATCTGAAGGAGTTTTAAGAGGAAAAAGTAGCTCAGGATGTTATGGGCAAAATTGTGTCAGACTGCTTTTTCCAAGTGCTGACAAGTGATGTGTAAGAAGGCTTTTGATACTATTGCCTATCATTATTAATTCTTCTACCAACTTCTTTTCAGAAGCTTTTAGTTCTTCCTCTGCTAATTTAGACAAAGCAATCCTAAAAAATAATGTGCAAATCACATTATGCTGGTTCTTTTAAAAAATCTCTATATCTTTGCAGCATAATTAAGGTGACAAATGCAGCACAATCCTGAAATAAAAGCGTGCAAAATGACATTTGTAAGACTAGCACTGCTCAATACATATTCACATCTGCATTAAAAATAAGAATAGCTAGTCTAGAATGACAAGCTCAGAGCAGCAGGCAGAGGATCCATCTTCCTGGTGATGCTATCACAGGATAGACTAGAGCATAGAAGGTCTGTGTATGTCTAGAAGTCACATCCCACAAGAAGCTCAGCTTATCAGGTCAGGTTAGCAGCTCTCTGGACAGTGTCTGCACTAGGTTGTCCCTATGTCTTCTTCTGCATACAAAACACTGGTCTGAGGGCAAACGACATGTTACCTTTCATATGCATGCAGCTGGTCTTCTGTTTCTCCTTAAAACTAGGACATTAGTTATGTTCAGGCTGTTGTTTTTAAGGCCCTGTAGCACCCAGGGCCAGGTTATCTGAAAGAATGGCTTCTGCCATATAAGCTACCCAGGTCTCTACTTTCTGAAAGGAAGGGCTTATTGACCATTCTGTATCCTAGTGAAGTTTGTTTGGCTGAGATACAGAGGAGGGCCTTCTTAGTTGGGGCACCTATCAAGTAATAATCATCTCACTGAGAACAGATGGGTTCCTAATGTTACGTGTCTCATGGCCATCTTCTCTGCTTCCGTTGAAGCAGATCAGGATGAGAGCAAGATGTCACAGCTGACCAGGCTGGCTTTGATACAAACGCCGGGCATTGTAGGAGTCAACAGCAAAGGAATTGAAGTTGGAGTACTGGCCATTGGGGAAATGTGGCTTAATGATACAAAGTTGATGGCAAACTGAATACCGCTCTTTTCTGCCAGCCGGAAAGAGCTGTCCTGAACTTCATGGTGCTGCTACCTTAAAGGCTAGTCACTTGAGCATCTGATGCTTCTCAGCTGGTTTGTCCTCTTAGTCTGGTACTGCATGAGTGGCCTAGTGAGGCACCCCCTCCCACCATATTGGCTTGCTTGCTAGACTTGCCCACAGAGCGTGAAACTGTCTAATTCTCAGTGATTGCCTGCTTTATTGTTGGAGTTGCCCTAAAAAGTTACAAGTCTGATACTTTAGAATATAGAAAACTGCCTGTTTTCTCCTTGCACCCCTCCATCTACAGGCTTTTGCCGCTCAGGTTCCTTCTACAGGAAAAGGAGAGAAGCCCCAGGACAAATAGATATCACTTGCATATGTAATCCTGCTGGAGAACTCAATCACCCTTCTGCCAGCTTCCCCATAGTCTTCCTGCAATGTCCTACCTCTGACTGTAAAAAGCAAACATTGAAACATGTTAAATTGAGTAACTCCTGATTGTTGTATTTGTTATCTGTTAGTCAAGATCTTGTGGCGTCATGATGTTTTTCCAATGTTTCTCAATATTTCCGTATTTTCCTTCTGTGCTTGCGTATTGCTCATTCAAGGTCTCATTCCTCTCCCTCTCATGGGAACATGACTCAAGTCCGTAAAACACTCTGGACATGCTCTGTTCTTTGTAGCAGTCTAAGACTGCCACCCTTCAGCGCTGTTCTAATTTAGGGATTCCTGTTGTTATAAATAAAACAGTTGAGTGCTTGATTGGAGGCTTCCACTGAATCCGATTATTCATTCCAAGCAGGTCTGAAATCCCGACATTATCTTAGGTTCTGCTAGCCATGGAAATTCAGCTGCAGAATCTGGCCCTCCTCCTCTTCTTGTGAATCAGAATCCAATACAAAAACTTTGGGGGGTGTATTGGAGGAGATGCAGGCCGGGTCCCTACAGAGTGCTTCTAGCAGCCACCCAAGACATACATGTTTGTCCAGGCATTTCCCTGGCTGTTATCACTGTCAGAGATCTGTGGTTATTTTCATGAAATTGCAGTACTTTAATCATTGCTTTAATGATTCGTTCCCTAGTAGTTTATCATGATTTTATCTTGTAAACTGCTTTGGACTTGTTGTTGTTTTTAATGAAAGGCAGTGTAGAAATTCTGGTGAATAAATAAATAAACAGGGCGGTTATCTTAAATGCAGCACATGGGAAGGTGAAATTTATACTCCCTCTGTATTTAGGATGGAAATCACGTTCCTTTACTATCTTCTTAGAAAAACATTATGAGAGGTGCCAATGGGGCCTTTTCACTCATCTCCATAACCACAACAGGGGGAGGGAAAGTGGAATTTCCATCCTGAGAAAGGAAGGGAGAAAGCTCCCCTTTGCATGTATGTCAGACAGGATAATAGCTCTTCCCCTTTTTACAATGATGGGAAAATGGAAGTCAAAGCTGCAGGCTATCCATTAATTATAACTTGTAATTTGGTTCTTAGAAGATGGCTACTGCAGATGGGGACTCATCCCCAAGATAACTGGAAGAGAGCTCACTGTTTTTGCCCCATGTTGTTATATGAAGCTGTTGGGGGTGATGCTTCCGAACTTTGGAACTGAATGCCATCCACACGTTGATGACACTCCGCACTGTACTTCATTAGCAAAGCATCCACAAAGGGCCACCTCACTCCAGACCCAGTGCTTTGCACACTGTGGTCAAGTGGATCAGGAAGAAAGAAATGAAACTATGTTAATATTTGGATTCTTTTCATTTCCTTAGTCATGGGAAAGTATATATCATCTTATATGACAGGGACCAATGATGCATGCAAGTATTGTGCTGCATTGTTGACAAAACAACAATACAAATAAGGTATTCAAAAGCTGAGCAGATGGAACGGGGCACTGAAGAAGAATCATGTCTGTGGGACTCCTTGATTGAGATGCGATGGTGTTGCTTCTTCCTGTATGAAACCCTTCGCCTTCCTGCCACTTCCATTCTTCGAATCAGATTGTGGGTGCTTTCATAATTGGTCTTTTCTCTAGAAACACACAATTTTAGAAGAATAACAAATGCCAGAGCAGCAACAAACTCTCAGCAGTAACTTCCAAAGTAATCAACTAACTAGTCACCATGTACAACACATAACTGATGTGCCTGAGGATCCTGATAGTAATGTATGTAAGTATTGAGTAATTATTGTTATATCTGATATCATACAAGTTGCCTTCTGCACATACAATTACCCTTGCTTTATTTCCTCACTTTCTTCGTCGTGGCCTCTGTGCATCACACATATGGGTGCTGCACCTGCGCAGTGCCTAAGCCAGAAGATTAGAAAGCTAATGGTTTTTGGAAGGAAAAAGCTCCGCTCCCCTCCCCCCACAGTATAGATAGAGCGGAGCGTCCGCCATTTTACTCAGTCTTTGCGACTGCCGTTCACTGTGCCTCGTGCCTGTTCATCTCTCGCTTAGATTTTCGCCTTGTGCTCCTGTTATACCTTGTTCTACTTACCTTGTTCCTTGTTATTTTCCCAGTTCTTTCTTCTCTTCCTTGTTGTAGTTTTTTCTTCTACCTCTCTAAAAAAAACAAAAACCAAAAATATTATTCTTACCCTCTGTACTACCATCTCTTTCTTCTTTTTCGCGATGGCACAGCGGGTGGCATTCCGCAAGTGCAGTGAGTGCGGCTCCAAAATGTCTCCCGCTGAACCGCATGACTTATGTTTCCTCTGCCTCGGCGAGGGGCATAGGACCGACAAGTGCGGGCATTGCCTGGCCTTTACTAAACAGGCCAGGAAGAATAGGGAGAATCGTCTCTGTAAGTTGCTTTGGGATCAGGCCTTGCTCCAATCAGACCAGCTGGTCCCAAGGCCTACCCCTTCCTCGGCTGTACCACCGCAGTGCTCCACCTCTGCTTCAGCCATGCCCTCTAAGTGCCCCGCCTCAACATCGGCTGCGCCACCACAGCGTCCTCCGTAAGACATCATGTGGACACTGACTCTCGGGCCATGGTCAGTGCTATTTCCCTGCGACAACATGTGTGGCTCAGGAATTGTAACTTTCCTGAGGAAGTGAAGAGGAGGATAGAGGAAATGCCATTAGATGGCACTGGTCTCTTCCACGCGAAGACCGATCAAAAACTCAAAGCCATCCACGAATGCCACATGACAGCGCGTCGCATGGAGCTCCCACAAACCAAACGTAAGTGGTCATGGTCCAGGCTTTATGGTCGCCAGCAGTATCAACCTCGCCAACAATATCAACAGAAGCAGCAGTGTAGAAGGCAACAGCCCCAACAGTGCTTCTCTCAGGGCTGTCGGCGCTTCGACTCCGAAAAACGCCCTCGTTGACGGTCCCAGCGAACCAATTAATCTTTCCACCTCCCACCTTCCCCTCTCCCTTTTGGGAGCCAGCTTCAAAGCCGACTCCCCATTTGGGAGTCCATTACATCTGATAGGTGGGTGTTGTCCATCATTCAGCTTGGATATAGAATAGAATTCGACATCGTTCCACTGTTGAGTCCTATCCGGTTTACGCCACCATCTTTGGTTTTGTGCGATGAAGTCTACCAACTTTTTCATAAAGGTGCGATTCAACAACTCTCTCGCACGGATGGGCTTCACGGATTCTATTCTCAATACTTTACGGTCCCCAAACGGGACGGTGGTCTTCGACCTATCCTGGATCTCAGGAATGTCAATAGATACATTAAACCAAAAAAGTTCTGGATGACCACCTTACAGAATATCCTTCCGTTGCTGAAAAAAGGGGATTGGTTCGCCTCATTGGACTTGAAGGATGCTTATTTTCATATCTCTATCCATCCTTCCCATAGACGCTTCCTGCGTTTTACTGTTGGATTCGTTATTTTCGAATTCAATGTGCTCCCGTTTGGTCTAGCTACAGCACCGAAAGTTTTTGCAAAATGCATGGCCCCGGTATGCGCTCACCTATGGCTTCAGGGTATACAAGTCTACCCCTATTTAGATGATTGGCTCATTGTGTCACAGACTAAGGACAACCTCCTTGAGGCTGTCCAAACGACTTGTACTTTGCTTGATGACCTTGGACTATGCATTAATTTTAAGAAATCGTCACTTATCCCAACACAGGTCATCGATTTCATCGGGGCAGATATTGACTCCATTCTACAAAGAGCGTTTCTTCCTCCATCCTGTGCAGCCATGCTGTGTGCCCACATCCATCAGATCCGACGACTGAGGACAGTGCAAGCCGTCACTATACAAAGACTGCTGGGGCACATGGCGACCTCAGTGGCCATTGTGCCTCACGCAAGACTCAGACTTTGGCTGCTTCAATTGTTCTTCAACAAATCGTTTCACCCGCAACGGGATTTACAAACCAAGCTTCTTCGGATCCCGTCCTCGATCCTTCACTCCCTGACATGGTGGACTGTTACACGAAACCTACCTACAGGTGTTCCGTTCCGTCAGCCCCAACCGTGACATTGTACACCGATGCGTCCCTCATTGGATGGGGTGCGGCATGTGCAGGACTTCGGGTCCAAGGGGCTTGGAACCAACAAGAAGCGGGGAGACACATCAATTTCCTCAAGCTTCTAGTGATTTTCAACACTCTCAAATCTTTCGAAACTGTTATACACAGCCAAGTTGTGCAGATTGCGTCCGACAACATAGCTGCTGTCTTCTACGTCAACAAGCAAGGCGGAACAAAGTCTCCGCTCTTGGCCCGATTGTCAATGCAGATCTGGGATTGGTGCATCCCAAGGGACATAATGCTACTGGCGGTACACCTTGCAGGGACCGACAACGTAGAAGCGGATACACTGAGCAGGCAGATGTCAACGACTCATGAGTGGGAGTTGGACCAGATGATTTGCAACGAACTATTCCAGTTGTGGGGATACCCGGACATAGACTTGTTCGCTACCCGAAAAAACAGGGTATGCGAACTGTTTTGCACCAGAGCGGGTATCGGACAGGACTTGAGGAGAGATGCCCTCATGATCGATTGGAGCAACCTGTTTTTCTACACATTTCCTCCGATTCCCCTTCTGATGAAGGTGGTATTGAAGATTGTTCAGGACAATGCTACAGGAATTTTGATAGCCCCATGGTGGCTGAGGCAACCCTGGTTCACCGCTCTCCTCATTCAGTCCAAAGGTGTTTTCCATCGACTTCCACCGGTCCCTCACTTGCTGACACAGTGCAACTGAGCAATCCGACACCCAGACCTAGCTTTGCTCAAACTGACAGCGTGGAGCATTCGCTAGATTCGGTCTCTCTATAGGTTCCGTTACCATCTCAATCCACAGAATCCTCTCCTCAACTGCGTACACGACCGACTTCTCCTTCGGGATCGGCCGAAACCGTCTCGGGACCGACGTTTTTACATCCTGATATCCAGGCGATTCTCGAATCTGCACTAAGACCTTCCACACGCCGATCTTACTCAGCAAAATGGAAAAGATTTTCCTCCTTTGCTGGCCGTCATTCTTTTTCTCCAGAATTGGCATCCATTGAGAACATTCTACAATTTCTGTTCGAACTTCACCGTTTGGGACTTAAGCCTTCATCTATTAAGGTTTACACAGCTGCCATCTCACATTTCCGTGGTTCCATACAAGGCTCATCGTTTTTTTCTCAACCTCTGATTCGTCGTTTTCTTAAAGGACTACAAAATTTACACCCGTCAATTCGCCTGGTCATGCTGACTTGGAGTCTTTCTGTTGTACTCCAAGCGCTAACAAAGCCACTGTTTGAACCTCTGGCGACGATGGATCTACGTCTAGTATCATGGAAAACTGCCTTCCTTGTTGTGGTTACTTCAGCCAGAAGGGCCAGTGAGCTTTGTGCTCTACACATAGACCCACCATTTTTGAATTTTCACAAAGAAAAGGTGGTTCTTTGAGTGGACTCAGTGTTTCTTCCTAAGGTGGCAACATCGTTTCATTTGAATCAGGATATCGTCTTGCCTGCATTCTTCCCATCTCCATCGACTCCAATTGAACGCTCTCTCCACACACTTGATGTTCGGCGCTGCCTTGCCTTTTACAGATCTCGCACAGAATCCTTTCGGAATTCTAACAGACTTTTCGTTAAATATGCTGAGAATGACAAAGGTTCTCCAGTCTCATCTCAGCGATTATCTAAATGGATTGTACAGACCATAGTGTTGGCCTTCCAGTTGGCAAGAATGGACTTATCTACACTTCCGAGGGGCCATTCTACGCGAGCAGTACTGACTTTGTCGACTTTTGTGGCAGGTGTTCCAACTCAAGATATTTGCAGAGCCACAACCTGGGCTGCTCCGTGTACTTTCGCCAAGCATTATCGGCTTGATGTGTGAGCCAGACAGGACTGTTCCTTTGGCAGAGCAGTGCTCTCTGCCATTCTTCAGTGACGACACCTCCCTCCTCCAGTTGGGATAAGCTTGTTATTCTACCCATATGTGTGACGCACAGAGGCCACGACGAAGAAAAGCAGGTTGCTTACCTGTAACTGATGTTCTTCGAGTGGCCATCTGTGCATTCACACAACCCACCCGATGACCCTGCATGGTGTCAGTGAGTGGACTTGTTCTTTTTCTATTGGTTCCGTACTAATCTTGCGGTAACGATGTTGCTTGTTGTGGTACTGTCATTGCCTGCTAGGGGGCGAACATTGGTCTTCAAAACTGAGTAAAATGGCGGACGCTCCGCTCTAGTTATACTGTGGGGGGAGGGGAGCGGAGCTTTTTCCCGCCAAAATCCATTAGCTTTCTAATCTTCTGGCCTAGGCACTGCGCAGGTGCAGCACCTGCACAGATGGCCACTCGAAGAACATCAGTTACAGGTAAGCAACCTGCTTTTCTTTCTTATTTTACTGTTTGTTTGATTTATAGTCAAGCACTAGCCAATATTTATTTATTTAGAATTTGTGTATGCCGTCCCATTCGCATAAGACTCCGGACGGCTTCCAGACAAAAAATAAATAAATAAACAAATAAATTAAAAAGTATAACATTCTCCAACAAATATAAATTCAAGTTAAAATAATAGTCAGAACAATGCGTAAATAATAGTCAAAACAAACTTCAGTGACAATCTATAGTTTCAGCTTAAAATATGTTTTAACCATCTGATTCCATATAAAATATACTTCAGAACAGAATGTTGCCATCTTGAGATTTAGCTCAAGGTAGCATTTGACAGAAGAAAGGAAGAGTAAAACTCAGTGGTTCTGCCTCAAAATTTTGTTAATACAGTATTGGGGCAATGAATAGGAACTAATGTCCATACAATATAAACAGTATAATATAACAAGTTTGACTGTTTCAACTACACAGTTTGGCAAGGGCAGAAATGTTAAGGACAAGGAATTTGTGAGCATTTCCTTTCCAAGAGAGCTGATAGTAGAACAGTAAAATGGGCAAAGGTAAACACTCCATAATATTTCGGAATTTCAAGAGCATCTGCAGGAACAAAGTTTTTATAATGATTGCCAGCTGGTGGATAGTGCTAAATACTTATTCTGACCTCCCTGTAAAGGTGCATCCCAGACCCATAGCTCAATCCAATCTTTAGCTCTTGAAGATTCTGTATTACTGTAATTTCT